CTTCCACTGAGCTTCTTTCTTCGACGAACGACCTCCTTCATCGGTTTTGATGCAACCGTCGTCAGCGAAGTCACGGGAATCATGGAGGTTGCTGGTTTAAAAAAAAAAGCTGAGAGATTTAGAGTTTTTTTTAAAGTAAATTGCTTTTTGTGGTCAGTAAATAAGAAAAGGAATAATAGTAATTAGAAAAAATACAGAAAGATGGAAGAAGGAAAAAAGAAACTCCAAGGGTAGCAATGGTCATTTGGTGTGGAGGTGATGTCAGCAAATGCCTATAAAACTTGGTGTTTTGAAAAAGATTATTAAAAATGTTAAAAGGCGAAGGCTTATTTTGTCCATTTTCCCTAAATTTTAAGTGACAAAAATTATGATATTGAAATTAATTTTTTATATTTTTTTTAATATCTGTCCGAACCAACACTAATCGTGGGATTTGATTAAGACTACTTTTGATTTAATTAATAGTCTAAATTCTCTTGGTCGACGAATCTTTGAGGAGGAGTTCGTTTCACCCCGATGAGTGTGGAAGGCAATTTCGTCAAGGCCGTAAGCTAACATTGCTCCTTCAACGATTGTTTCTAAAATCAATCTTTTGGCTGCAATATCTAAATTTACTTTCATAGTTGGTAATGATCCGGATGATGATTTATTCCATTTCCCAATTGTTCTAACGTTAAGAGGATTAGGATCATTAACCATTAATAGTACATTTCAACCCAACAACAATTTTGCGTATCGCAGAAATTAGAAATTACAGATTACAGATATTGCTGAAAAATATAGCTACTGTTTTTTTAAAAAAAGCCCTACCATATTCTAATTACGACGAAACGAGTTAACGATTCCAAAATGCAACCAGAAAATCTCCTCGAATCTCAAAGCATCAGAATCACCGTACACGTATATGCGTCGATCATCGATGCGTGTGTATCTTAATTGAAGCGATGACGGAAAAAAAGAGAATGAAATATATAGAGATGGTAGACGAAGAACAACGAGCATTAATTACCGCCGCCCGATGTAAAACCAAGGTTTTCAGATGCCGACGGGAAGGGGGAACCATGGCGCATTGACGGCGTCTACGAAGCTCTACGACAACGAATGGATTCAGAATGAGGGAGGCAACGGAGATCGGAGAAAATGGCGGCGACGGTTGATGAACTTCAGTGTTGTGTTGGACGTCGCCCATGGCAGATTAGGGTTTCGATGGCGTTCGTCCCGCGCTTTCGATCTCCCTCCGTAGTCCGCAGACCCAATATTATATGTAGTCGCCGGTGTGGATCTCTCTCCTTGCGGGAAGATTATTGACATTTTTTTTTAAGTCCATTTACACACACGTGTGCAGCAATTAAAACTTTAAATTAATAATTGTATAGTTTAAAATCCTAAACTTTTTTCCCTTTTCCTTTTGTTTCAGTTAAATTTAAATAATAAAATCTTGGATACCAAAGTTAAAGAAGATTCGGAAGTCACAAGTCTTGAAGAGTCGACCTGCAATGCGTGACTAACATGTAGGGATGGTAGATGTGCATGTCATTTCTTCAAGAGACGACCTGCACTGTCACATCACCAGGTTGTCTCTTAAGTAGACAACAAGTTATTTTATTCTTGGAAATAGTTTGGTGGAGAATATAATTTTGAAAAAAATTTTAAAATGTTAAATTATTTATTTTAAGGGTAAAAGAATAAAATATTAGAGAGATGTTAGAATTGAGTTGATGGTGGTAAATTGATAAAATATTAGAGAGATGTAGAATTAAGTTGATGGTGATAACTTTAATTATATGATTAATTTTTCATCTTTTCGTTATTCCTTTATTTTTATATGGGTGGAATATGCTAACTGACTTTATTCCATATCTTTTTCTCTATTATCACTACATCGTCGGTAAGCATTGTATTTTGTTTTCTTAGTATGACATGTGGGGTGAAATTCAAATTCATAATATTTTCGTCGAAGATGAGTGTATTTACTATATTCAGGTTAACGTATAGTATATTTGTCTGAAAGATATAGAAATTAAAATAAAATTAGTCCTAATACTGTTTAAAATGCAAATTTATAGTGCCTTCCATGTAAATTTGATTGGATTGAGCCTAACATTTGACATGATAGGTAATTAACAATTGCAATACATATTCTAAGTTTTAATATTTTTTAGTATCACATTCGATAGGAAGAAAATGAATAAAGTATCTTGCTCATTAAGCTAGGTTTATGTTGGTAATATTTTATAATTAAATAATTATTGGATAGATAACCGAATCTGATATTAAAAGTAGTAATACATGTCTTATAGAGATGTGTTAAATTTGATACGAAAGTTGTAATTTAATTTTAAGTTTATAATCGAAGTATTTAATTTTACTCCATGGTTTCAAATATAACTTTATTATTATATTAAACAGTATATTCTATTATCTAAACTTCCTTCTCCGCGCCGGACGATCCACGAACACTCGCAGTCATCTGGCTGAATTATCGGCAATGGATTCCAGTCTCCTGCAATTATCCCACCCGCTATCAACTAGATCCACATTTCTCAACGTAATTCGCAAATCTTCTTCTGCATCCTCAATCTCAATCGGAAGAAATTCGCAGTTCCAAAGATACTTCAAGCTGGAGAGTAGCAGAGCCAGAGGCGACGTCGCTTTCGACGAAGCTGCTTTCGAGGCCGACAGGTCTCGCCTCGACGCCGAAGCTGAGAAATCCATGGCCGAAGCTTCAATCAGGGCCACGGAAGGCGCTCCGGCCGACGACCCGAAAGCATGGAAGTGGGTGATCCGGAAACGGATTTGGGATTTGATGGAATCGCAAAACGTTGCGGCGAATCCCCGGCCTGTTCACCACCGGATCCCTAACTTCGTCGGCGCCATGGAAGCTGCCAATAGAGTGAGCATTCCAATTCTGAGTAATTTTGTTGGAAAGAAACTGTTTGAGTAGTCCATCTTGAAATTTTGATTCCTTCCCCCATAAATCTAATGAAATGGAGTTTTATTAGTTGTGCGATTTGGAAGTTTTTAGGGATGCACAGTGCGTCAAAGTTAATCCGGATTCCCCTCAGAAGGGCGTGAGGCTTCTTACACTTACGGGTCAGTTTCATGGCGTTAATTACCTCTATTCTTTCAGTAGATACATTCTAATTTCCATTCACTTGACGTATTAGTTTGACATACTTTTATGATTTCTTTTGTTGCTGTTGTTTGTTTGCTTGTTTTTTTTTTCTCTCTAGGTTGTCCACCATCGTTAAGAGACTATGTTTCAAGTTGGTTAATAAGTTCGAACACTCAATACAACTTAAATATGATTTAGATTGGTGAATTTGACGTCACTTGGAACATTGGTTTCTAATTATAGACTATAGTTTCGATTTTGTCGTTATTAAAAACCTCTGTTATATGATAGCCTGACCATACATGATTCGTGTACCAATATCTGAAACAGTATGATTGATTATTAATAATGAAGTAATCGAGAGAATTTCTGGTATTCTGGATAACCGTCCAGTATTTATATCAAGAACAAAGTTCATTCAAAGATGTGGGGGGAAACTTCAAAATATGTCAACTGGTTACTGTCTTACTTTATTACGAAAGCTGAGAAGGATCTACTGAAAATATGGTCTTTTCAATAGTACACTTGAATAGCTGTGCCAACAATGTTGTCAGGTTTAGTTATTATTTTCAGGTAGTCGAATTGATTCACTTGACTGAATCATGAACTTCATTTCATGACATAATGAGTTGTATCATCTTTGATTATGTGGATAAGCGTGTGATAGCTTTCTTCATGTTTAAATCGCAAACTAAATGGTACCTTGATCATGATCAGGTGGCAAAAAACTATTAACACCTCAGCCGCGGTTGAGAACAGGGTTTTTCTCCATAGTCGAATCCGGAATGTTGACTCCTGCTACCATCAACGAAGCCTGCACTTCTGTTGGGGTAGCGAAGTACGGAAAGCCAATTGGACTGGATGAAAAGATCAAAGTTGATCTGATTGTCATCGGCTCCGTTGCTGTTGACCCCCGAACAGGTGCTCGGCTTGGCAAGGGAGAGGTAAGAGTGTTACTTACATCGGTAGTTATATTCTTCCATTTTTTGCCACTTTGTAGTCTTACGCAATTTAAAGAGCATGCTCGATTCTGTATATGTTACTTTATGTCATTGGAAGCTTCTGTTTTGGCTAAAAGAAACAATACTGATACATGATAGAATGCCAGGGATTTGCAGAACTTGAATACGGAATGCTTCGGTACATGGGAGCCATTGACGATTCAACTCTGATTGTTACTTCTGGTTGTGTAACTTCTTTGCGTCCATCTTATTTTCTAGCTCGTCTTTCTTTTCATGATTTTCAGTAACAAGATGAATTCAGTCCTAAATATCTAAATATCCTTTACTATCAACTGTTTAGATAGTTCACCAGTTATACTTCCCAATATCTGTAGTTTCCAAACCTCCTCCATTCCCAAGAAATGGAATAATCTTCATTTTCAAATTCACGTACAAAGACTAATATTCAGTTGAGAGTTGAAACTTCTGTCAAGCAATTGAAACAATTCATGGGCAAAGGGCTGCTGGTTTTAGATAGAAATTGGTAGCTAACTCATCACTGAGCCCCCCTGATTGCTTTTACATGTTAAAGTTAATAATTTCTCTATGCTTTTGGCCTTAACATTTTTGTTAAATCTACTGTCCTAATATGACTTGCAATTCTAGTGCAGTGCACGATTGTCAGTTGGTTGATGATTTCCCAGTCGAGAAGCTATTAGTCCACGACGTGCCAGTAGACATTGTATGCACTCCGAAGCAGGTCATTCTAACCAACACAAAAATCCCCAAACCCCAAGGTTTGCTTCTCCATGCCAAATTCCCCTCTAGAAAACAAGTTTGATCCTTCTGGTGCCTGGATCTCTATATTCAATATTTGTAGAATCTCTTGAAAATTCTATCACCGTAAAGTTACCTTTTCTTTTCGGTTTTTATCTTGAAAGATTCGTGCAGCATGTTTCCATTCCTCAAGTTGGAGGGGACATGAGCTATATTTGTAACATCAAGTAATAGAGTCTCATCTCCCAAAATGTTCTGCATTGTAGGTATTTACTGGGAAATGCTGTCTCCTGAGAAGCTGAGTCAAGTTCGAATACTCAGAGAGCTCAAACGGCGGATTGAACGGGAGACCGGCCAACCGCTGCCGTGTGGTCCGTCGGAGAAACTACCACCTACAGCTCAACGGAGTTCAAAACCCACAAGACGTGCATCCTCCAAGAACTGAAGGGGGGGAAATGGGGAAAGAAAGTCCTGTACTATATTTTCCTTCGTTACATGGTTCTGGTATTGAATAAAAACTCCTCGATGAGAACGAAAAATCTAATCTGAAAGCAATAAAGGAATGAAAATTTCTGAAGGTTTTTTTTTACGCCTCCATTTCAGAAAAAGAAAAAGGAGTTGTATATTAGCAGATGTTCAATGAAAATTGGGAGAAAAAAATCAAAGCGCTAGAAGGAGGGCTTGAACCTCCGACCTTGTGGTTAACAGCCACATGCTCTAACCAACTGAGCTATTCCAGCTATTGTTGATGAAATACAAAATAAAATTAATTTATTATTATGTACACTCTTAAATCTTCTATTTTTTTTTTTGCTTGTAATTTAAATTTACAAAAATTATAGCAGAGAATATGTATTCAAATTGCAACGGTAAAAAATTATATCTTGATTTTTAAAGTTCAACAATTACGAGGTAAGAGATCGAAATCTTGAACTTTTAAAGGAAAATTGATGTGAATCTATTGAACTATATTCGAATTAACTTATATATCAACCTATTTTTATATATATATATATATATATATATAATAAAATTTGGTTACAAAGTCAATAATGAACTAATGAAGTCAGCTTAAGCTATCTTTACATTTTCAGTTCTTTAGAACAGATATTTTTTTTCTACCAAATTAATCTAAGCATCTTCTTTTCTTGGTCAAAATTAATGCAAAAGTGGGGTTTTTTTCGAAACGAAAAATAATATTGTTCAAAATTCAAAGGCTTTTGGTTGAACTCCTTTATTTTGCTCTGATTGGATTAGAAGCAGAAGTTTAAACAAGTAGCTGGTCAAAATTAGATTAATATTTATTATTCAAAGGGCTTACTTTGTATTTTTTTTAATATAATGATTAATTTCAATGTCATGACAATAACCTATCAATTAAGTAGGTCCAAGTAAAATGAAACAAACAAAATGTCAATCCGAGTGTCAGTTCAATCGATAAAACATTTATTATTATCTCAAAAGCCCTCCTTACGATAGACTCAAACATGACATAATCTTTTTTTAGTACAATATGGGGGTGGAGTATTGAACTCACAACCTGAGGTTGCAAGATATATGTCAATTATCGTCGAGCTATGCTCGTTTTGACAAAACATGACATAATCTTAATTGTGCATGACCCGAATCGTAAATTTTATAATAAATGTTAACGTCAATAATATAACATTGACTCTTGTGCATTTACGAGAGAACATAAAATCTAAATTACCTAAAAATAATTAAGGATGAAAATATTTAATTGGCTAAAGAAAATTTTCATTTCATTGCATAAAATTAACAGGCATTTAAAAAATGTCACTTTTTCTTTTTAAATATAGTACAGGTACTAAAACCGATATTATAGTAAGAGTATTTTACATTAGATTTGAATTTGATTTTGATTAGGTGATCACTTTATAAACCCTTTTTGTTGAAGCTCGTTCGAGCTTTTCCTGGAAGTATGGCATGGGTTACTTCAGCGCCGTAGCGCCTGGTACTCGAACATTGGCTCGAGGTATTTTCTCTAACCCTTCTTACCCTGAAAAAGTAGGGGTATTTGTCACATATGAAAATACATCTTTAGTAATTTACATTATTTATGTAAATTTCTCGGAATTAATTAATTAATTAAACAAAACCTGTATTAATAATATCCCAAAATTCAAATTTGTATATTGTTCAAAGAAAGAAATGATGATGAAAAACAGTCAAAAGTCAAAGTAAAAGCGGTATGGGATGAAGTATATCAAGAGTTAAAGCAAATCTCTTACAAATTCATGAGTCAAAGGCATTAAGAGATGATTTT